TTTTTTTTTCCCTAGAGGAATTGAAATTATTGCCATATATGCTACATTACGCCAGGCTCTCTAACTCTGCATGGTACCCAAATATCCCTATACTCGTGTCAGTTGGTTTTCAACCAGCACGACTTATCATTTTATCTCTGTTTAGGGAAATAGGACGAATGATTTGGTTAGTGGGTGGAGGCAGGAGGAGAGGGGGGAAGGAAGTCGGGGAGGGCAAGACTAGGGCTGACTGGACTCCAGCTCAGCCGCTCTTGTTGCTGCCCCGCCCCCATCCCAATAACCGTCAACCTAACGACCATTAGGCCGTAAGTGAACACTTAGAGTCACCAAATACAACAAACGCTTCATGCCTGTGCAACAGGCACTTGAGTCGAGTAGAAAAGCACCTCGAGTCTTCATGAAGGCCCTACGTTGGTTTCCTTTTTCTCAGTCAGTTCCTACCCGCCAGAGACAATGTCCATTCATGCAACACTCAAAGCAGATGTTCAGAAAAGAGGCTGGCTAGTTCCAGGTAAACTCCAAACTGGCAGGTCAATGGGAAAAACACTGTAGATTGAGGTATATGTGTATTAATATAATATTAATAAATGAAGAAATTACATTAGATCGGTAAAGACCATTAAGTCAGTATTGGAGATTCTTCGTAGTTGAAGATAGTGGAAACTGTGTATTTGTCCACAATCATGACACACAGCCTAAGAAAAAAAAATACACTTGTATCTTCTCATGGGGGGTGGTGCCGTTGGCAATATATCAACTCCATGTATTCTTTTCTTTTTTTAATTTCATTTTTTTAATTTACATCCAAATTAGTTAGCATGGATTACGACGATTTCGGGAGTAGAACAACATGTATTCTGATTGGCAGTTATGTGTTTGGTTTTGGGTAAATACTAATGAGAAAATAATGACACAATGAATGTGTTAGGCACATAAACTCTTTTGAAACAGGATGTCAACAGGGAAATGGCGGCGATGTGATCTGGAAGCATTCGTGTTCTTTTAAAGACGTAGTTATAATTGACATGTAACGTATTTTTTTTTAAATAAAATACAGAGTTTGCATAGTCTAAAATAACTCTAAATTCAGAAACGAGTCTTTCTTTTGGTGACTGTCTGGGTCAAGTCGTCTTGTCCATCACGCTGTTACCATGATGGGCGATAGGAAGTATCACTACTCTCTAGTGGTTACGGGAGAGCGTCTGTACATATCTGGGAAGTAAATGAATGCAACTGATAGGAGGCATCTCATTAAATTCTCCAAATGGCATAAAGTGTTTACGTGGGAATTTCAAGAGGAATGACGAAGTCTCTTCTTTTTATTACAGACTTCTGCAAAGTCTTCAACATCCCCGATTCATTCACGCATAGAGCCAATATTCACTCTAAAAAATTATGATTGTAGCGCACATCCCATGCAAACAGCCACCTGTGCCACAGCCATCCCTACCTAAATAAGTTTTATTTATGCACATTTCTCGTGCCAGGCTCAGAGCAAGACCCGAACCTAAAAATAACTCTATGAGGGTCAAGTACAGCCCTCTCAGGGCAAGCCGTGTGCAAAAGGAAGAAATCTATGAAGTTAGATACTATAATGGTATGAGGCGGAATCTAAGCAGTTCAAACGGAAATTTTTCATTTCTAGGAGTGTGGGCAGCAAGCTTTCAATTAATAGTTTGACCTTTAATTAAGATCCAAAAATCAATGTTTAGAAAGGTATCAAGGGACCAAAGCATGTTTACAGAGTAATTAAAGATCTTGAGGCAAAGTGATTGAGGCAGGTGTCAGAAAGTGGAATGATGCCGGGCAAGCTTAAGAAAGAAAAGTGGAAATACTTGAATAACTATATTAGCCTCGTGTGGCTGCACGACTGCTCACGCATATACAGCTGAGAAGAGTGGAACTGTCTTGTGCCAGAAGTATAGCCAGCTTTTATTCCGAGTCGTCTGAAGCCTTCTCTGCTTGGACCGGGAAAATAGATAATGTTCTCCAACAGGTGTATTTCCATTTTCTGATGAGACCAGAAGTGCTGAAGGAAGCTAATCGTTCAGCACGTAAGCAACTGACTGCGTGGTTGGGAACAGATACGGTTAACTTACGCAACATTCTACCTAGGAGGGCTTATAGCCTCAATTCTAGAGAAAAGCTAGACAGCTCGGCAAGAAAAAAATAATAATAGTTTAGAAGTTCCTGAGCATAGGAAGCTATAAGCAGGGAAATGTGGTATCCTGTTCTCTCTTTTAGCACAGTGCCCTTGCTGGAGCCAGCTACTCTATTCTATTCTATTCTATTCTATTCTATTCTATTCTACTCTACTCTATTCTACTCTACTCTACTCTACTTTACTTTACTTTATTTTATTTTATTTTACTTTACTTTACTTTATTTTATTTTATTTTATTTTACTCTATTTGATTTTTTAATTTATTTTTAAATGTTTCTTTTCGAGAGACAGAAAGGGTGCACCTGTGCCCATGCAAGTCTGAGAAGAGCAGACAGAGAATGGGACAGAGGATTCAAAGTGGGGTCTGTGCTGATAGCAGAGAGCCTGATGCGGGGCTCGAACTCATGAACCATGAGATCATGAGCTGAGTCACCCACGTGCTCTGGAGCCAGCTCTTTTAAATCTTTTCTCTTCTCCTTCTCCTCCTTTT